CATTAGCACCTCTAGTAATATATTTACTGAGAAAAATGGTGACGTGTTCAATACTTATTTTACCCGCTGTAATTTAATTGTAGTCTCAGGACAGCTATCTCTGTTATTACAAAGGAAGGTGAAGCCCAAGAAGACTGTTACAACTACAGACCAATATCAAGACTACAAGTTTTACAGCCTCTCATAACTAAGAGAAGGAAGGAGTTTAGTGTTAAACTAACAATCAGAGCTGGAACTTCATCCATGCTCCCTGAGCTTCTGTCACCTAAAAATGTTGAACTAACACACAGATACGTGTTCAGGTACAACATGTAAATTCAATAATCCCCYCTGAAATTTTAACAGTAACCGAATGTTTCTGTAAAATTTCACCCAAAATCTGTAAAGAAGCATTAAGTATTCCTCTAAGCACATGTTATAAAATGAAACCAGGCACTAAAAGGAAGAAACATAAAGACTTTAAAATCTTCTCTTTATTTACAGATTCACACTGTAAAGAAAAAGCAGAATAAGTTATTTAGGCAGCAACAACAACCTCAAAGTGTTCACAGCTCTGGGTTCGGTGGAGCGCTCTGACTTTACYTCCTGACTGATCAAACTGATCGTGTTCTGAACAAAGTCTCTGATGCTCAACAAACTAAACTTCAAATTAAACTTCTTAGTTAACAAAAGGCAGAAACTGAGTTGATGTGAGCAGAAACAGAACTCAAAGCTGTTCAGAATCTTTAGGTATCTGTAAGAACTGGGTTTTCTGGTCCACAACAAGAACTGCAGGGGGTCTCCACTCAGACACAGCAAACCAAAGYGGATGTCTCACAGTGTGGAGGACACTTCAGGAGTCCTCCTGGAGTCTTTTTACTGTATTTGTCCTTCATAAGAACCAGAATCTGGTTTGATGATCCACTCTGTGTTCCAGATCTTTTTAACTTCACAGAGCATGAAGAGATTTCAGTTGATTCAGACTGAATCAAGCAACAGACCAGGCTGATGATTTGCTTAAAGTGAAATAATAAATCAGGCAGCTCCAACAACACAATTTATTCCTTTTCAATCAAAAACTGAAAGTATGTAAGATAAGTATGTTTGATAAAGGTTTCAAAAGGCCTTCCACCTCCTTTTCTTTTCTCAGTTCCACACCTAGAACATGTCTTTCCTTTTGAAATCGAATCTTGTTTTCTGGAAGAGATCAACTTAAAAAAGGTGATGCTAACAAGCTAGCCACATACTTCACGTTTCCCATAACTGCTTTGTACACAAACAACTAACAATACCACTAGACGGCCTGCAGGACGTCCAAAGACTTAGCTAAACGTTTTTGCTCGCACCCACACTGAAATGTGATTGGTTCATTTTCCTGTCAMTTATAAAACATCCTGCAGAGACTGACTGAACTGAGCCCGACTGTGAGCTGACAGTCAAGTACTGACCAATGAGAGTATCCCTACAGGTCAAATCTGTTGAGTTCTGAGAAGCCCCGAGGCTCAGACTGATTTTAATAAATAAAGTGAACTAAATATAATAGTTTATATGTAGTACATCGTGTAAAAAAGAAAGCAGAAAGCATATTTTGGTTAAACATTGATACATACAATATTTTAACAGTGGAAATTGGACCTTTAATGTGAAATGAGAAATTTGTAATGAAGCAACAGTAAGAATCAAAATAAGTGTTAATCTAGATTACTCCTCGAGTGAAAGATTATAAACTGTCATAAAAAACTGAAAGAAAAAAGAGCAGAGGATATTTGGAGTTTCATGGGAACTCTGGAGGTTTCTGTGAACAAATATTAAACGGGTTCTAAGAAAATATCTATGAATGACTGAGTATGTAAACCAGGGGTCTCCAACCTTTTATTCCTTAAAGGCGGCCTATTATTGATTTGATTTGATTTATTGATTTAACAGGAAAAGATTACTAAAAATCAAGCCTGACTCAGCATAATTGCTGTTTTACAGCAGGTTCCTGTTCTGCAGCACATAAAACACTCAGAAATACAGCATTACAATCACATCATTATACACCATAGACACAAAGACAAACAAGCATACCAAATTTCAGGAAGGCAGCATTTGCAAAATAGGACGTCTAAATGTGAGCACAACAAAAAGTGTCCAGCAGATGGCAGACAAGATTCTTCTTAAAGGGCTGTAGTTTTGAAATGGACTTTATGTTTTGAGGAATGTCATTCCATGCTTTAGTATAAACATAGAAGAAAGACCTCTGGCCGTAACAGTTTTTATTAGTTTTTTTATTATGGGGTCTTAGCACAAGTTAGGATCCATCTGTGTGCTCTACAAAACATGTTCATTTGATTTAATTCACAAAAAGATTCTCAAATAATGAAATTTCACCTTTTCAGTTCTTCCTGTTCTTCAGCTCTCTCCAGAACGTGCCAAATGTAGAAGTTGCTATGGAAACCCACCTCCCATCCGTTTGTTTATGTTAGCTCCACCCCCCGACGTGATAGAAATTTCCAAAGTGAAATTATTTTCACAAACTACAGCTTTCTTTGGCAATATTGTTAGAACATTGTCATCAAAGATAAAAATAAAATGAATCCAGGCATCTCTGCTCTCCATGGCTGCTGTAAAAAACAGAACAACCATCGTCCCTTCAGGAAGTGGGCGGAGCTTCACCTCGGGTTGCCAGGTAAGGAGCTGGACCCTGGTTTAGGTTGCTAGGTGATTGTTATTGTGACGTCAGAATGACGTGCTTTGGGAAATACCATGTTTCCAAATACCTAAAAATACATGTAATTACAGCTAAAAAAATACGGCTGGCTGCATTTTTTTTTGGGTTTGGACTGCTTCTCTAAGCAGTAGAGACCCAAAAGTAAGTTTAAAAACATGAAAAAAGTGAGTTTTGCATAATACAGTAGGTGCCTTTTAAGAGCTACTTTCACAAAATGAAATTGTCCGAGAACTACTTTTTGCAACATTTAATTTTAAGCTTAATCTTAAACCATTGCAATCAGCTTGTTTTGCACAAAAAACATTGTCTTCAATTCACATGAAACCACCAAGAATAACACTGAATTTACATGAATGTGCTTCAACCAAGGGGAAGGGACATCTATAGATTGATTGGAATTAAATGAAAGTTTGTTTGGCCAGTGACAAAAAAATTTTGCTTCTCCTAGTTTTTCATAAGCACTGAAGAGCTACTTTAAATGAGCTCACGAGCTACTGGTTGGAGACCCCTGACGTAAACTCTGGAGTTACACTTAATGAGAGTTCATTGTACTTTTAAAATACTGTGTAAAAATGTATCTCAGTATCAGCCAATCCTTAGGACTAAAATACTTTTAGTGAATTATAGTGAAAACAGATGTGGAGATGTTTTCAACCACAATAAATCAATCTAAATTTTCAATTCGTTTTCAAATAATCTAATGAATGATTATTTTTGTTTTAAATACTGCTCATTTTTGTTTCACATGTTAACGAACTATTACCACTAAACGCTTTTTATGTCACAAAAATATTGGCTACATTGTGCAGTTCATTTTCCTGTTTAATCTATATTTTTATTTTTTATAAAATGCAACAGGAAACTACTGTATAATACTGCTTCATACAAGACTGTCAAAGACACAATGGTTCAGCTRCTAAAAAACCTCAAAGCTTCACACCATCTTGAACATAAAAGAATWATTATTAATTCATCATCCTTGAAAATATTAATCAAATTCTCAATATTCTTGAAATTTTAATCAAGTGAATCATTCAAATTCAGCTCAAACACTCAGAACCTGTAGTTTCACCAGTGGGGGGTAGCAGTGCACGTCTACAAATCTGAAGATTCATGCAAAACATCTGCATATGCTGCCAACAGTAGTTTAAACCAAGTGATGTGAACCCTGTGACCTCTGCAGGCGAGTGACGTCACATTCTGAGAGGTTTCATTTAGAATCAAAAGACTGGAGAATTTAAAAAAAAACATTATTATTTTAGCACAAAGCAGCTCCGTGGACGTGGAGTGAATTAAGTGATGTCATWCTCTTCAGAATGCTTCAAAGCCCTGTGCATGCAAACTGAGCTTACATTTAAAAGTGCTGAGAGAGCAGAATGTAAAGTTGGAGCTGCTGCATGTGCAATACATCCAAGGTATCACAGCTCTTCATCTGAGAAATGTAAGGAGGCCTGCCTGCCTGCCTGCCTGGGTTAGAGGGGCTCACATGAATGACAACTCTGTTTCACCAGCATCAACACACAAAGCTTCACGATGTTTGTGCATTTACACTGAAAATTCACCAACACACAAAAAAAAAGATGTCAAAGCTCACCTGTGCTGGATACTCCGACCACATTACTTGGCTCACTGATGATGTCATCCATTAAGGCCATGATGCGGAACTCATACCACGCCTCCTGGGAGAGGGATGACAGGAAGCTCATCAGCAACCAAAAGCAAAACTTTTTGTAATTCAGTAAAACACTTTTTAAGCCGAGCATCAAGTGCACTCCAACATCCCCCCACACACTGTGGCCACCCCCAAACAGATCAGCAGAACACCACATTTTAAAATGATCTGGCATCCTGCAGAGTTAACATAGAAGAAAATGATCCCAGATTCATTCAAATTATACAGTTTTACCAGCTAAAGCTGATGAAAATAAACGACCTTCCTTATCCAGTTTGTACATTTAGGTGGAGCTGCAGATTTTCACTTTAAAAGTGTAAATAACCTTTACTACCATACAGATCCACTGCAGCAGATAAAGATGCTCAGTGTCAGTATTCTGCAGTCTAATTATACTCATGTCCAATGAGCGTACTCTCAGTCTAAACTGTTGAGGACATTTTGTTATCACAATGAAAAATACTAATAAAACCAAATTATAAGTATGTTTGTATATAAAAGTCGATAAAAAAGCAGGTATAAAAAAGAAAAAACAAACAACTGGAGGTGAACGCCGAACTTGAAACAGACACAAATGTATTTGGAGCGTCGTGTCCAGTTTTACACATGCTTATCAGTAACTGTAAAAAAGCCCTTTTCCATGATCTGATTGAGATAATTCCTTAACCAGATTCTGATTCAGTGTTAATGTCACTAAAACTGATAACAGGTCTGCAAAGACATTAGAGCAATCAGACAAAAACATTAACTTGTAAAATTAAACAGAGGTTTTATTTATTTCTGACAGGTTCAGTGTTTTTCCTGCTGGTTTCAACTCTGAMAATTGAACTGGGATGCAGATATTTGTCATAATAATGTYCTTTAGTTTAGTTCTATAGAATGTKCATGYGAATGCATGTATGTCYTGTACATGCACATATTACAGATGGGTTAGATGGGTTTCTAAAAAGACTAAAAAKTGTAGTTTCTGATCTSTACCATTCCCGTTGTAGTCCATACAACAAGCTGTATCTTAAAGCTWTTTTAGATGTCAAAACATGCATTTTCTCTGTGATTTTGATTTAAATATTTACGCTTCTGAAACAATTTCTACATCARTAAATGATTGTTTGGGGTTATTGCAACAAACTCATTCWTTTTTTTTATTCATCTCCTTTGTTTACAACAAAACTACGACCATTTACAAAAATTCTGCTGATGGAGTTCAAAATATCTCTGCACAGCTCATTTAATCTGATCTTCCTCCACTTCAGTGACTCTACTTTTGTGAATTCTCATCCTTACAGCTTCTATTCAGTTTCTTTTTAGAAGACAGACGCACGTTAACTTTTCAATGTTGACCTGGCATCTCTGATTTTTTTTATATGCAGGGATAATTTTACATATCATCTTTTGTGAGAATGTCGTGTGCTGAGACAGTCCAAAGTGGTCAACTGGTTGGGAATGATGCAATATTGTTCAAGAACTTTGAAAAATCACATTTTTAAAACATCTATTATTTCTTAAAAATTTGACTTTTAGTATAAGCTCATTAAGTCCAGTATTGAGCAGTGTTGTTTTTTTAACTGTGGTTAAGATGCAAAAGAGCACTTTTTTTTCTTTGTACTTTCAAAAGTTTCACGAATCACAGTTTGTGATTTGTGAAACTATGAATTTATAGTATGTGTGCATTTACAATATAAAGTTAACAAAAATTGAGGAAATGTGTGTTTGGAAGATTATTTCTTTGTTGTAACAATGTTACTTGGCAATAAATCTTATACCATTGAAAGCCTGGTAAACTCCTTTTTAAATGCTTCCACATTTGTAAGGAACATACAGTATATTTGGGGGATGAGCAGTAGAGCTGAGTATGTGGGTTGCGCACATGACAAATTCAATATATCTTCTGGAAAAAACTGGCATGCCACGTTTGATCTGGATAGGGCCCAGGCCACAGCAGAACTTCAAGCTGGTGTTCTGCAAAACCAAGTTGTGACATTATTTGTAGTGAGCCCTTATCCCGTCTCCAGAAAGTTAACAGAAATATCAATACGTCAAAATTACCAAGGTTTCCCCGTTTTCAACCAGATTCCCTTAAGCAAAACAAACAAACAAACAAACAAACAAACAAACA